GATGGATTGACACGGTGATGGTGACCATGGACTTGAGGATGGCCAAGATCATGAGGATGACACAGGATTGACATGGTGATGGTGACAGTGGACTTGAGGATGGCCGAGGTCATGACAACGACTCAGGATTGACACGGTGATGGTGACCATGGACTTGAGGATGGCCGAGGTCATGACAACGACTCAGGATTGACACGGTGACTGTGACAGTGGACTTGAGCATGGTCAGGATCGTGAGGATGACACATGATGGACACAGTGACTGTGACCATGGACTTGAGCATGGCCGAGATCATTGACAATGGCACTGGATTGGCAGGCATTTGGTCTCTGTCTTCTGTGTCCCCTCTCCTTACAAGGACACCGCTTAAACGGGACTAACCCCACTCCAATATGACTTCAGGTAACTCAAAGCATCTTCAAAGACCCGCTTTCAAAACAAGGTCCTTTTATATGGTGTTCACGTAGTACCAGGGCTTGGACTTGGAGCACATCTGGGGAGCTCTGGTGTGTTACGTGCCGTGCTAACAGAGGCCAGAGGATCAACCATCAGCTGTCTGTGGGAGTAAGAAAGGCAGTGTCCTTCTGTAAAGCCCGGGAGGAACCAGTGGAGGGGCGCAGCGAGTCAGGATAGACTTGAATAGTCGTTTTGTCGGGTACCAGGGGGTCGGCTCTCACCCACAGCAGCCCGTGGACGGCAGAGCGGAACCCCACCTGGTCTGTGTCAGTCTTGCTGTCTGCTGTGTGTAAGGCCCGGCAGCAGCCGTTGTCCGATTCCACCTTATTGTGGGTTTTCCGCTTTTTTCCACTGACCTTTCACTTTTCGAGTCACGATGACCTCTCCCAGGGACTGACCCCTCCTGCTAACCTGCCCGAAGGAGGTGAGATGAGTGCCCACCACACTGCGTCTAAGGAACCGTCGGACTCCTTCAAGCCTTGCAGGTTTGTCTGGTTCTCTTTGGTGGTCCATGGTGCGCTCACAGCTCCTCTCCGGACAGTTCAAAGGCCATTTCTGGGCTTCCTGCTTTATCGCCTGCGTTCTCATGAATGTGGATCAACCACAGGCAGTTTGTTTATTTGGGAAAATTACTCAGCCAAGAACACTCCCTCTCTCCTTTCAGTTTATGAAAAAGGAGATCCTTTTCCACACGGAGGGCAGGACGCACTCTCTGCGGGGGCCCGCATTGCTCTGACTTCATTGCCCAGGAGAGCAGTAACTTCCCGGGACCGGCTTCCACGCGGCTGATGCCAATTTGTGTCTCCAGTTTCACAGTGACTTTGCAGCCCAGGGATCTTGAAACGCTTCCCTCTGCTTTTAGTGTGTGGTCCCCACAGTAAGGATTCTTTGTCAGCCAAAGCCACCTCGGGATTCTTCTTGGAAATGGAGGCATCTTAGGGGAATTTCTTGTAAATCCACTTTTTAGGTGTTGTTCTCTTTGAAAAGTTGCTCAAGTTTCTGGGAATTTGATTGAATACTCTTATCTCATTGCACATAATTTGTTAGGTCCTTCGCGGAAATATTTTTAAAGTATTTAAATGTAATCATTATTTCTTTTCCAAAAACTGGGATTTATTTCCTGTAATGCTTCATTTTCCCTAAAGCTGGTTTTACCAACAAGCTAACTGAGTGAGGCTTTGGGATTGCTTTTTCTCTCTGAGCGTTACCTTTTTCTCTCTCCTTTGCCTTTGTGTTTTGGTCTCCTGGGGCCTCTAGGACCTGCCCATGCCCTTCGCCGTGCACAGGGGGTTTGCAACCTCTCCTCTCCGTTGGCAGCTGCGCTTTAAGCCCTGTACCACCATCCCCTGCCTCTGCTCTGCATGGCGGTCGCTGTGCCTCTGCAGCTCATGGCCGGAATTACCACAGGGTTAAAACGGTGTTGAGAAGATAACCCACGAGGTGGCTGTTCACTTTGAACCAGCGATGGTTCCCACTGCCCGTGAGTCAGTTCTGACTCTGACGCGCAGGCCTGAACAGAACCAGCCTGAGTGCTGCCAAGACCTCGTCTCTACAGAGGCAGACGGCGCCATCTTCTTCCTGTGGGGTGACTGGTGCATCCGAACCACCAACCCTGAAGTTAGCAGTTGAGCATTTTAACCAGCAGACTGTTTTTGTTGTCGTCGCATATCGCTGAGTCAGAGCTGAACCATAGCTGACCCTCTGGCGGGTTTTCAGAGGCAGTTAATCACACGGGAAGAGTTGTCCATTCTTCTCCCATGAGGCAGCTGGTGGTCTCGAACCAAGTACCAGCGGGATTGCAGTGCAGCTTCTTGGCACTAGGCCATCAGGGCTCGCAGGGGCAAGGATGCAGAGTGAACGGGACCTGGAAGTTTGAGGCCTGAGCCCTGCTTTCCCTGATGGACGTGCCAGTCTCTTGAGCGAGCCTCATTCCCCAGCTCCTGAGGCACCGTCTGTGGAACGTGTGCGGGGTTCAGCCTGTTTATCAGGGTCCCATTTGCATAGTTTAAAAATAGGTGTCGTGCGAAGCCGTGAGCCACTCTCAGCAATCCCTAAAGGACCCTTCTAATAGCTCTTTGTCTTGGGAACAGCTAACTGTGGAAGGTGTGCGGCTCAGAGCTCTCAGCAGGTGGGTGGATGCTGGTGGCAGAGTCTGCACACCTCTGGGACTGTCTTCTCCCCTCTGCCCTGGCCTCTCCCCACTGTCCCAGTCAGTCCACTCCTCCCAGGGCACAGCAGACCAGTCTCTGTAGACTTCGACTGCCAGTGGCGTTGGATGTGTCAAAGAGCAGGCCTCCCGCGGCCTCATGATGCTGATGGATGATAGACAGGAGCGGGCGCCCAGCAGGCCTCCTGCGGACTCACGGCGGGGAAGGACGGAAGCGGGTGCCTGACAGTTCTGGTTGGGGGCTTGGACCCGTGAGCTTTCTGGTGGTGCCTCGTCCCACCTGCCGCCTCCCAGGGTGGGGTTGGGGGCTCCCGTTTACCGCTTCCCGTGGAAACATCAAGGTGTTGTGTCAGCTCACCAGCACTGTGTCCGTGATTTCCCTCACTTCACTACAAAATAAACAAATCGTTTTCCTCATCCCCGTGTGACCTGTCGCTTGCTGCTCCTGTCACCTTACCAGTCAAGGGTGGGAACCTTTTTACCCTGTGCTGTCAGCTGAGGGCGTCCAGTCAGAGTGTGGACACCGTGGCTTTTCTCCTGCATGGAAGAAACTTCCCAGATCCTTCCCAGGCAGCTGTGAGGAGTCCGCAGGAGGGGACCTGAACCCGCCTCCTCCCGGCACTCAGGCCTCTGTGGACCTGGAAATGCGACAGAGGAGCTCTGGCTGCCTCAGATACGATGTGGATTTCTATCGTTTTACGTGATGAAGAGACAAAGCGGCAGTGGGTCACTTTCTGAGACACCATTCCAAAGTGCTTTTGAACAACAATGCCACGTTGAAGACTAAGAGGTGCCTGACATAAGCCATAGCATTTCAACTGC